CTGTCCTTCCTCCATCCCCATCCCCCCCCGTGTCCGTCTGTCCGTCCGTTCCCCTCCCCCCCCAGCTCCGATGGCGCCCCAGGCCCGGGGGGCAGCGCCGGCTCCGTGAGCGGGTGAGGAATTTTGGGGGGAATTTGGGGAATTTCGGGAATTTTTGGGGGGGATTTGGGGAATTTTGGGGGGGATTTGGGGAATTTTGGGGAATTTGGGGGGGAATTTTGGGGGAATTTTGGGAATTTTTGGGGGGGGTTTTGGGGAGGGGGAGGGGCGTGGGAAGGGCCCGGGGTTGGGGGAGGGGGAATTTGGGGAGGGGGGAATTTGGTCCTCGATCCTCCCCTCCCCCACACAAGAAAAGAGACCCGAAATTGGCCCGAATTCATCCCAAAAACCTCCCAAATTCATCCCGAAAATCTCCCAGAATTCCTGCAAAATTTAACCCCGAAACTCCCGGAAAATCCCCCCAAATCCGACCCAAAATTCCCCAAAATCCAACCCCAAAATTCCCAAAAAATCCTCCCAAATCCAACTCAAAATTTCCCCCAAAATCCTCCCAAATTCCCCCAAATTCATCTCAAAATGCCCCAAAATTCCCCCAAATTTAACCCCAAATTCCTCCAAAATCCAACCCCAAAATTCCCCCAAAAATTCCCCAAAATCCAACCCCAAAATTCCCCAAAATTCCCCAAAATCCAACCCCAAAATCCCCGAAATTCCCCCCCCAAATTCCCCCAAATCCAACCCCAAATTCCCAAAAATTCCCCCAAAATTCCCCCAAATACAACCCCAAAATTCCCCAAAATTCCCCAAAATCCAACCCCAAAATCCCCGAAATTCCCCCAAAATTCCCCCAAATCCAGCCCCAAAATTCCCAAAAAAATCCCCCGAATCCAACCCCAAAATCCCCCAAAATTCCCAAAAATCCCTTCCAAAAATCCCCAAATCCCCTCAAGAGCCCCAAAATTCCCAAATCCCGCCCAAAATTCCCAAAATTCCCCCCAAACCTCCCCAAAAAAATTCCCTTCCCGAACCTTTTTTTCCCACTTTTCCCATTCTTCCCCATTTTTAACCCAAAAATTCCCTCAAATTTCCCCAAAACTTCTCCCAAATTTTCCCAAAATTCCCCAAAATTCCCAGCCCGGATTTGGCCCCGCCCCCTTTTTAACCCTTTCGCTCCCCGCACCCCCAAAAAAATCCCCCAAAAATGGGAAAAATTCCCCAAAAAATTCCCAAAAAATTCCCAAACT